CAGCGGAGAAATATGATAAAACATGGGAAGGACAGGTTTTGGGTCCGACAAACGGCATTTTCTATATTTGAGAATCACCACCTTACTCTTCTTTACATTCTACGCCTTTGAAGTCTCTTTCATAAAGTGGATTCTATCGCTTGAACTTGATCATTATTCAATGACTTGTTCATTTCTACTCCTCTAAACAGAAATTGTGATCATAAGATGCAAATTAAGGAAACCTTGCATACAGTAAAACGTCACAGAAAGTAGACAATTGGATTTAATTTGCAGTTTAAAATAACTCTAATCATATTTTGATTTTCATTTGTTCTTTTCTTGCTTTCATTTAAATGAACATACACAAGTCTAGAGTGAGGATTTGGGTTTCTCGAATGTTATAAGGGAAAATCATTTTTAGGTACCTGCAGAAATAATGGATGTCACGTAACAAAGCTATTATTTCTTTGCATTTTTTATGACCCGTTTGTTGGTGTCTTTTCTTCTCTCTCTTTTTTTCTTTATTGGTCTTCCCAACTTGTCCCACACTACGTGGGAATTGAAGTCTTGATCAAACCAACGATCACAATATGGATTTTTTTTTTCTTTTCAATATTTTGTTGTCAAATATTAAATTTAATTAGGTATTACTTTAAAATATAAATATTCTGTCTAACCAAGAAATATCTATATATGCATGTGCGTGCTTTTTATGTTAACTATTTCAAATGGGGTGAACTTGAGACGGGGTATAGGTGGAGTTAGAACTTTTATATTAATGGTTTTTCCCTAGAGGGGTATGTTTATGCTAAGAGAAGAACGGCAAAGAATAAGTTAAATCAAATAAAGAAGAAAATGAGTGCAATTATAAAAATTAATTACATACACCGAAATTGTCATTTTCTTCTCCGTTTTTACAACAATTTAAAATAATAACAATGTTCAATTTAAATATTCTCTTCCCGTGAACTAAACATACCTTCCGTGCCGGTAAAAAAAAGAAAAAGAAGAAGAGCATGTTAGTTAAAAAAAATTAAAAAAATTATATATTTTTTAAATTGATAGGATGGAAAAGGGGAGAGATATGATTCCAATTCTTAGAGTTGGATAGACATGATAAAATAAGAAATGATGAAAATATAAAAGTTAGATAAAATTATAATAAAATAACAATAAGATAAATTATTATCTTATTTAGATATATTATTTTATTTTATCTATTTTTAACATAACTTTTTAATTGAATAGAATTTATTTTAAAAATAAAATAAAAAATAGTTTATCCTACATGCTCTTCATATTTATCAAATGACGCTTATTCACCAAACCTATATATGCTCATTCCTCCTAATCCTTCAATTTGTTCAGAGAATCGAGGTTTTTCATTCTTAAATTTGAAATGGCTATTCAACTTCCATTTCAAGTTGCTCTTAATTTCACAAGTGAAATCTAATTACCCATAACCTTGTATTTGTGTATCACAATAATTTACAATATAAAAGTGAGTGATGAATTATCTTCTGTATTCTTATTCTTTTGCGGTGAATGTGAGCATGCGTGAGATATGTAAGGTAATGTGTGGTTAATCCATCTCATGCCATAATAACTAAAACCCACTGGTTTATAAGCTGTTGATGTTAAATTCTCGAATTTCAAAATATCAAGTCATTTGCACGGAAAACTTTTCCATTTTTAGTTTCCTTTCTTCATTGGAAAGTACTTTTATTCCATAGATATAAATAGATCATAAAGAGGACAAAATCAGCAAACGGGTACAGTACAAAAACGTAAAAGGCAGTGTCAAAACTTGAAGAATCATAATGCGTTAGGGACATGACATAAAATCATGGACCATGCAAAGATGTCTCTCTAATTTGTGCCAATCTTCTTTTCAGTGCCTCGTATCCCTTTATTCTTTGACATCGAGATAATATATACATACAGTGGGATTTTCTTTTACCCCATCTTCAGTCTGCAAATGTTTCTTTTTGTCGTAAATGGAAAGTGTCTTTATTTGACTAAATATGAATTGCAGATTTTGAAATCCAATTGTATCTGAAATTCTCTTTTATATATGTTTTACTAGGCGCAGGGTAATTAACATTCTCTCAATGAACCTATTATGTGTGAGTGTGACATAATCTTTTATTAATGTAGCCACTTTTTATTCTTCAAATTTCAATAATTAATACATATTCCGGATCAAACCTAATTATTTCGAGTTTGAATATTATAACAATAAGAATTGTATGCAAGCAACAAATTAATGTTATATATATAGATATGAAATTAGGGTAGTTGTCATAAAGTATAATTTTAGAAAGGAGATAAATCAATGATGTTCTAAGTAGTGATAATTTCGTACAACGAGAGGGGGGAGGCAAAACAAAGAAAATCCGCATCATTTTGTTAACCAGAAACAATTAAAGTGTTAAAATCCTATCCTATGTATTTGGTTAGAGTAATTCTAATTTACTAAATTATATGCATTTAAATATAAAAAAAAATTCTTAGATACTTTAGAACTTTAGTTAGAAAACTTTTATATTAAATAAAAAGAATTTACATGATATATCTTTAGAGAAAACATAAAAAATATATAGTTTATTTTTTATAATTGTTATCTATAATTCTTCTTATAATTGATTTACATTTAATTATTAATGTCAAATTCTCTATAATTTTAAATTTTTTTTATTCAAATCTAACCAAGGATTAAGGAATTAAAATATTCATTTTAAATATGCATTTAATTAAATATACACAATAAAAAGCATAATATTTTTTTATTAAAAATACAAAATATTACATAAATTAATATGTTAATATTATTAAATATCATAATTTTAATTAAATTTATTATTTGTTTATTTTTATTATAAATAACAGATGTAAAAATGATTGTAATATATAAAAATTCAGTTTAGATAAACTTTCATGCTGGTCTTTATAAAATAAAAACATTAAATAAAACTCCTCTCGTAAATTAGAAATAATTTATATTTTTATAATTTTTGAAAATTTTTTATTTAACTTTTTTTAAAATAAAAAATTATTTTAAAAAAATATTATTTTTTATAATAAAAAATTTATTTTATAAATTGACTGAAAGAAAACTAATATTGAAGATTGATGAAATGAAAATAAGAATTGTGATTTGATGCATGGACAATGAGGCATGGACTCTCAAGGCTGACATATAGAGCTAAAAATTTGTAAACAGGATTGAAAGGCATCACTTCCGCTTCACACTTACTATACTCATTCAAGCAAACTTTAAAAAGAGCCTTAAAAGCACAGAAACTAACAACGAGCTTTTGCGTCAGAACAATGCTCAGTGCTCATCAATATTCTTATATCTAAAACACAACCATAACACACAATTACTGCTCACTGCATCAGTAACTATTATTAAACGTTAGCAATATCTCATTAAAAATATCAATACGTACGGCTTTGTGATCAAAACAACCTTTGTACGCATTTAAAGGGTATTTAAATAATTGGTTATTCAAATATTTATTCAATAATTTTTTAAAATGACTCTTTATTTTAACAATAAAATTTATTAAAATAACTTATTTTGATAAATTTACTGAAATAAGCTAAAAAAACTCATAAAAGTCACACGTTAATTTTTATAAACTATTCATAAGCTATTTCAAATAGATTATTAATACAACATTTCCAATTATTACAAAATTTTATATTATTTCAAAGAATTTTGTTAACCAATATTCCAACATACTGGTTAAAGAATAAAATAATAACACTTAAAAATTATGATATATGTGTATTTAATAATATATTTTTTTAGATTTTTAATCAAAATTTTTAAGTCATTTATTAACATTTATTTATCTTTACAATTGGAATAACGAATTTATTATTACGTTGAATATAATAAATACTCAGACATATTACAAATAATATAGGCCGCAAATATACCGAGTTTACATCAAAACTATTCTAGAACAATAATATAGATTAATTTCCCTTTTCTTTAGTATGATATTGAATTTTTATGTAGCAAAATATCATTAATATGTAGAGTACGTTACATTTCTCTTTTAAAAAGATTTTTTTTAAAAAATAAAATATAATATAAATTTGTATTGTATTTTATTTTTAAAAACAAAAAATTATTTTTAAACGAGAAATTAAAAATATTCTTGAGGCTTCAGAAATATTATATCTTAAAAAAATTCTATTTACTAATTAGCTCTTCGATTTAATTTGTCTATGTTAATCTCAAACTTTTTAAATTATTATTTTTTTCTGATAGACTATTCAAACAGGTATCATATTACGATGTACCAAATAATTTTGCACACAATACATCGCAGACACACAAGATTCAAGAATTGGAAAAGATGTTTGCAATTATTGTGTTGAGCCAAAGAAATTCCAAACCATTTTATTGACTTCCCCTGTACCACACTAATTAAATTTACATTTTGCTCCCCACACAAATACAAATAGAAGACCAGAATCTCAAATTAATAAAATAATTTACCAATCTCCTTAGCTCACAGAGTATTGATCATTATTGATAACCAAGTTGATTACTATTAGTGGATTAAATCAATTCAGACTTGGACTACAAGCACCGAGGCACCGACAATATATTAGCTTCATCGAATTAGGCAAAGTAAAGAAAAAATATATTTGGTACCTCATATTACAAAAAATATATGTATAAGTTATATTATACCATTACAAAGTCATAATACCTATACATATATTTTTTGTAACCGAGAAAAAAATAAAAGCAAAAACATTGAAAATAATTAATAATAACATATATAAGTTAGTGCAAATAGGTAAAAAGTGGAAATTCAAATACGAGAGAGAAGGAAAGGGGAACAAAAGCACCTTCATATAGGGCCCATGAAATGTCCCCTCAAAAGACCCCAAGATGTGATTTTCATCTTTCTCAACTGCACCAACACATTCTTCCACATCCTCTCTTGTTTCTCCTTCCACTACCATTCCAATCTCCAAACTCATCGATCACCATGTCTTCCGAAATGCATAACAATTCTACGTCCTCCTCCGCCATCGCCGCCGATCCCGGTCATCAGCAGCCGGCGGCAGCTCCGCTGAGCCGATACGAGTCGCAAAAACGGCGAGACTGGAACACCTTCGGGCAATACTTGAAGAATCAAACACCCCCAGTTTCACTGTCCCAGTGCAACTTCAACCACGTGCTTGAGTTCCTTCGCTACCTTGACCAATTTGGCAAAACCAAGGTCCACTTGCATGGTTGCATATTTTTCGGGCAACCCGACCCGCCTGCACCGTGTACTTGCCCTCTCCGGCAAGCTTGGGGGAGTCTCGACGCTCTCATAGGTCGGCTTAGAGCCGCCTATGAAGAGCATGGCGGTTCCCCCGAGACTAATCCCTTTGGGAGTGGAGCTATTCGTGTGTATCTTCGTGAAGTTAAAGAGTGTCAAGCAAAGGCCAGAGGGATCCCATATACAAAGAAGAAGAAGAAGAGGAACCAAATTAAAGGCACTCATGATCCAAAGTCCTTCAAGCAATTGGCTACTTGAGATGGATGGTAAACTTTTCGTACCCTTAATATAAATTAGTTGCTTAATTTATAAATGTTATGTTTGATTTTAAATAGGACTAGTCACTTATATACAAATAGGACACAGTGATTGATTGTGGACCGATGGATTAACAAGGTCATCGCTATTCATCATATAATTGGGAAATTTTGAAAGCTTTTATAGAACTTGCTGAGAGGGGAAAAAATGTCAACTATGGAGATACAGATTGGAATATATGAATTATGAAACCCTAACAGGACAATACAAACCCTAATTTCTCATTGTCGATTGAAAAATTGTTTGGCTAGAGAATAATATATACTTGCTAAAGACTAACAAAGAATAATAATTAGACCATAAAGGATACTGCTCTCTCTCTCTCTCCGTCTCCTCTTTTTCAATCTTTCTCTCTCCTATCATTCAAAACACTGTTATTAGAGTTTCCTAATTAAATATTTCTCAGATAGGAACTTTATGCTGATTTTGGGTCTATTTGTAATTATGAGAAGTGTCTTGGGCTTCCCATGGACATCAGGACATGTAGCTTGATATATCGTACGTTGCATGTGATTCATACAAAATCGACGTATAACCTAAAACGTTCTTCAATTCATCTACCAAATAAATAAATAAAACGTACTTGAATTCTGCCATTGATTTTAGTCGTTAATTGATAAAAACACAATCCTGCTTGAAAACAATTGTACGACAGGATGGTCCATCAAAATTGTGTCACATTCGAAACAAGGTGAAAAGTTAGTTGTTTTATGTGTTTGTTTCTCTCAGCACCTACACAAAGGATGGTTTGTTCAGTGTTGGTCATATATTTATAATGCGTTTAATCTAGTTATTTGTGAGTCTGAGGAGAGATTACAAGAAAATGACCTTGGATGTTTCCTTTTTGTTTGACTCTATGATTAGATTGTCTATACTAATTGTCACTTCAGAAATACCATTCAATATACCTACGTAAAGTATAATCACACATCTTGTTAAAAAGAAGAAAATTAAGGAGAAGGAAGAAGCTTAAATGCGAATTTTGTCTTACAGACAAACATAGATCACTACAATGTAGATAGACAAATATATAAATCAATGATCACCTTGACTTATTAGATTGTTTTAGCAGGAATGCAATTTGACGAGCAATGTTTTTTTAATATTTTTTTGTAATACTTGCTTCTTCATAGTATACCTTTTTTTATTTAACAGTTTTTATTTTTATTTAAGAAAAAGTATATATATTTTTTTAAATAAGCATACATACCAAGTTCATACTAGAAACTAAATCATATAAACTAACTATTTTTCAATATAACATTGAGGTCCAGGCTACATATAACCATGTACATGTACGTGAATGTGTTTGCCTCTAAAACATCTAGAAACTAAAATCATATAAACTAACTATTTTTTGGTGTCATGAACTTACTGCTTTTTAAGTTAGCTTATTTGATTTTATTCGCCACATTGGTCGGTAATCTATCCCTCTCCCTGCAGCTTTCTATACTTCCATGTCCATATAAGGTTTCAACTTGTAACCATCAATTTGGGAAATTGATGGTTATCTATCATAGCTTACCTTAGAGGATCTATAAGATGAAAAATTTTCACTCCATTAGTTAACATTCTTTATATGAATATAGAGGAATTTTTCCTGAGTTTGAACCTAATCTTATATCTATCACAGAGTCAAAGTCTCAATAATAGAGTATATGGATGAACGAATACTATGCTTTAAGCTAAGTATTGACTAGGGTAAATGTCAACTTCTTGCCAACATTTCACATGGTTGATTAAAAACTAATCATATGGTAGAGTATAAACTGGTATAGATGGTGATTGAGTGATACCTTACTAAATATAGTCCAAAATTTTTGTTTACATCGATTATTTTGATGTAATAGAAAAAATATCTAATTAAACACGATATTGATAAATTTTAATACATGTGTTATGGTTAGAGTTTAAATATTTTTGTATGAAAAAAAATCCCCGTAAATGAATATTTTCTTCTTGCCTTGCTTTTTTGTGATTGACATTAAGGCTTAGGTTCTTTTAAGGGATTTTAAAGATCTGAGATGTTTAATTAACTTATAATGCTTATATATATATATAGAATGTTATTACATGTTTTGAAATGTTTTAACAAGTATCACTATATAAAGTTGGATATTTTTTAAAATCGCTTTTAAGTGCTCGTTATAGATCACAAAAATTCTTTTTTTTTAAGTTTTTTCTTACAAATAAAAAATTGATTCTTTATTATGTTTAAATGAAAATTGCTAATCAAATAGTCTCTAAATGAAACAACATCTTTACTAGAAAGGGAGATTGAAGTGAGGAACGAAATTTTTGCTTTTTGTAATAATGATCTAAGATCTAGTGATGGAAAGGAAGGTAAGGTAGTGAGAGAAAAAAAAAAAAAAAGGATCTACGATACTTTTATGAGTTGAGTGACATGAGTGACATTTCACTTTAGGTGTGTTTATAAATTAAAAATTATTAAAATATTTTAAAATACATTTATTAGAAAGTGAATATAAGGTGTGCCTTAAGATCATGCAAAATGCACTAAATCAATCAATTTCTATACAATGTTGACTTAGCCTGTTAGGTATTTTCGGACATTGGTTATTGGAATCAAAGTATTTGATCTTGAATAGGTAAGCCTACCACACAGAGTCCTCAAATACAAATGTAATCTATTTGAGATCAAATCAAGTCTTTTTCATGTAAAACTAAAACAACATATAAGATTCAATTATTTTGTAAACAATTGAATCAACTTAAAAGTTAAAATTGGTTTGAATTTTTTTTATTTTTGTGCTTGTTACGGTATCTATAAATTTGAAAAAATATTTTATATTTTTTTAAATTAACAGTTATAATTCTTCTATTATCTTAAAAATTAGAAATTTTTTAACTAAATTACTAATACATTGTCTATTAATATAAAATTAATGATAACGATTATTTCACGTGTAAGAGAAGGTATCAAACGCTTTTTTCTTAAAGGAAGTATGGTAAATTTTACCTTTTTTTTTTAATTTCATAATTAATCACAAAAATATCACTTCTGTTTATATCATGTGCAGGTACAATCAAACAAGAACTACAGTTGAAACAAGGTATTATTTCTGTTCTCATTTACAAAAATTAAAAATATATTAAATCGAACACACACTAAATTATCTGCAAAGATATATGATTTGTTTAAAATTTATTTCTAACAGTTTCCTTCACAAGAGGTTTTCTGGGCTTTGAAACATAAACACTTTGATTATGAATAATGGGTGTGGCCATAATCAACTGATTATTATAAAAGAAAAAATTGATGTAATGTTCAAAACTAACCTAGTTAATCTAGAAACTTCATCTGCTTTCACTCTATAATCTGTTGTAAGTGGAAATCACATCGATCAACTTTGTTACCGTAGTTAGTGCCTTGTATTAACAGCTATATGTGAGACACTCTATAAGTACATATAGGCCACGCTTTGTAGGATAGCGAACATAACACGAACTATGTAGCTATTTAGTCCGACACCATGTGTGTGCCTACACGCTGATATGTTTGCATTTAGTGTCAATAGAAGAAGTGAGACAGTTGTTTATGTTTTCAGTATCTAGTATATTACTCCATATATAGACATTTAAATATAGCATCATCTGGTAAATGTTTAGACTTGGAAATGTTGCATATAAATTTTTGAATTTGATCTACCTTACACAGGTATAACCAAGTTAGATCACTTAATTTCATCTTAAATATTTGAAAGTGAAACTATCGATTAACTTAGAACAATCTAAATTAACTGATTATGGTACATATTTTAAGATTATTTTAGGATATGTTCACATTAAGTGCTGAATTTATATAATTATACTATTTAATGACTTTTTATAAAATATAAAATCAACTAATTCAGCTGTTAAATCATTTTATATTATATTTTTAATTACTTATATTAGAGTTTTCATAATTTAAACATTTTTAAGATGTTATTTAAAATTTAATTTTTATTTACACTTTAAAAATATATAATGTAATAAAGTATCGTATTTTTAAACTTTCAAATCAATAGTTGAATTGATTAATTTTACATGTATGTTTCTAAATTTAATAACTAATGATAATGGATATGAATCATCTATCCAATAAATGGTAGACAGTAACTATGATCGTAAAGTTCCGCAGCTCCCTGGTGATGCTCTTCACTTCAAAAATTATATAGGAAATGTAAAGTGTTAGTTTTTTACTTCCCACAAGACAAGATCTATTCCATAGAAATTGTTAATATAAAAACAGATAGATTGAGAACAAGATCTATTCCACTCAAATACAACTAGCATCCTTTACAATAAAGGCCGTAGGTATATAAATGATCCAAAATTCTTAAAAATGGAGATGCAGTGACTGAGGGAAAAAACTATAAAAGATCTAAACTTGTCCTGCTGTAGTGTAACTTTCATTTAGAAAACCCCATCACAGACAAAACTAGACAGCTCCATCTTACATTGTATTTATCGCTTAACTTGTCCAGCATCAAGAAAAGAAAGAACCTTCACCCCTGCTTGTCTTCCACTAGTGATAGAATCAATTCCTCATCCCCTATTATTTGCGTTACAGGACTTAATCTCCGTTGATAGTAAGAAGCAAAACCATATGATTTCCAATCATAATGATTATCTTCGTACTATTTATCGTAAACATTTAGTTGTTTGTCAGGTGCCATATAGTTAGTTAAAAACAATAGTCAATTTTAAGAATACATATGCTTGTTTACTTAAGTTTATTCTTAGAAAATGTATTTTTCTTTTGTTGTTGAAAGTATATAACCTAAAAGACTTTATGAAAGTAGAATAATTTTTTTTAAAAAAAATATTGTTCTTCTTAGGGGGAAAAAAAGTTTGAAGATAATTTTAAATAAAAATTATATCACAATAATTGTTGTTATATAACTCAAACTAATAGATAATTAAAGTAAAAATCAGGATAAATTACACTTTATTCTCTTATAATTTTATACTTTCATGAATTTTTCAAATAACTAAATTTTCCCAAAAAATTGTTAAAATGGAATGTTAGAATTACGATTAAAACAGTCGTTAATTAATAAACTCAAAATTGTACTTCATTTAACTAAAAGAAGAGATATCAGAGTTTAAAAATGCAACAAGATTTAATGAGGGGTTTTAGTAATATAATACACACGTAGACAGATATATATGTATAAAAGGGGTCAGATTACTCAATAACTTTATAGTAAATTAAATTTGTCACAGACTCTATTTTATAACTTTTCACAAAATACATATTTAACAAAATTATTTTAATATTATATATATTATAAATTAATTAAATATTTTATCATATAATTTATTTTAACTGTTAAAATCAATTAAATTAAATTTAATGTTTATAAAATGTCATTAAAAAATTGACAATATTATAATTCAACTGAAAATGAATTTTATCAATGCAAGAATTGATTCTATAATATTATTATAAATATCATATTAAGCTCTATAATTTAAAGATCTGCAAATATATAATCTAATGGTAATTATTTAACTATATTGTACGTCCCTTTTTTTTTTAGAAAAGTAAAGAACAAATAAAAAAATTATAATATTAAATATGAGACTCTTTTAGTGGCACATTATAAAAGAAAAGACATTAAAGAGCGATCTCGCATTGTTTTAGAGAGTAGGTTAAACCACTTTAATACGCACTACTATTCAAAGTAAATGTCACTTACAATGTGGTTCATATAACTACTTTTAAAGGGTAAACATAAATCACGAATTTTAAATTTTAAATTTTTTTGTGAGTTTTTTTTTATTACAAATTAAAATTAATTTATTGTTACATTTAATTTAAATTTTGTATGTCTGATATTTAAAATTTTTCTATTTTTATCACAAATATTAATTTTTCATCTTGCACATTAAAATTCGAGTTTGCATATTGTGTTAATCAAATAATTTACATATGCATTAACCAAACAATAATAAACACAAAAAAAAAAAGATTAATAGGAGGTTTTACTGTTAAGAGAGAATAGGAGAGAATAGAGAGAACTATGAGAAAGATACCTAAAAATGTGAAAGAGATCAACTTTATTAGTGGAAAGAAGATGGAAAGAACTTTAAGATGTGAAAGATATTAACTTTAGTATAACAAAGAAGACGAAGAGATTTATAAGTTATGAGTTGAATGTGCTTTATTTATAAAATATAAATTGTTTATGAGAGTAATTTTTTATTAATCGCTCTCCAAATGTATCCTATAGAGTAATCTATTAATGCTCTCTCAGTTGGTAAATAATAGAGTGAAATCTATTATAGTGTCAAACAGAAGTAATTTCAAGTTTGTAAGAAGTAAAATTTAATATTTGAAACTAACACATGAAGAAGCTATCAAATTAACCAAAAAATTTGTACATGTTTTGCTTTCATGCATGGGTGTGTTTGGTGATAATTTATCAGTATTTTATCAGCCACTTTTTTATATCTCAAATGAAATTAATACAAAAGATGTTTGATATTTATATTTCATGTTATTTTCAACCTCTTATGCATGATTATGAGTTCAATATAAATTCAATTAGAAGTGTCAATAAACTCATAAATGCCAATAATGTAATAGTAATTATTTAGTTATATTATACATATCATTTGCTAATACATAATTAAATGATGAAGTATCAATTAATATTTAAATTATATAAAGATTTTGTAAAATTATTTTCTTTTATTAAAACTATAAATTGAATAGTTAAATTGATAAAATTTAGTTTTGATAAAAAAAAGTTATTTAAAGTATTATTTTATTAAAATTACACGGGTCAAATAAAGTATAATTCTCCCTAAAAGTTAAACATACCATACTGAATTGTTCTTTATGGTCTATGCAAGTTTTGGACGTATCCTACAGAGGTCTGGTCAGTTGAATATGTGCGGAAACGCATTCTGGCTTAGTTATTATGCAATATCTTATGTTTGGAATGCATACTGCATATGTCCAAAGGTTAAAGCTTTTCCGAATGCTACTATTGAAACAAAATTCATATATTTCTTCTCTCATTGATTATGTTGGTATAAATTATCATATTAAAAGGATGTGGTTGTAACAGGTAATGTTTGCTGAATTAATCTTTTGCATGCAGGGCCTCACGAACGACTTTACTTGCACTGGGGATTTAAGTTACCAAAAAAGTGAAGGCGAATGTCCTAAAAGTATCACCTCTACTTCAACTGAAAACTATCACAGACAAATATTGATATCTCACTAGTAGTTTAGAACATTAGAATAATCCTTTTGGAGCACGTTTGGTCTGAGTAAATCTTAAATATATGTACAATCTTGTAAGTTCTTATCACATATTGTGTTAGACTGATCATCCCCAAAGTAGAAATGGTAAGAGATTCGCACAAGTCTATTTCTTCAACTACTATTACTCTCTCACACACATGCACACACAAATGGCAAGCATGCATTCATGATCCATAATAATGATTAAAATTTTCATCACTCATAACAAATAACCCTTGGATCTCTTTTGAATTTTGATATACTCCCTTATATAATGATGACACAGCAGTTTTCCAGCTGCTTTTTAAAGCTGTCAACAATCAGATCTCTCATATGGTCATTATTTTATGTATATTCGCGATCTATTGATTTATTTATATAAACATATATAATTTTAAAGAAATAGAAATGCTGCTGTATTTTAGGCATTGTGTTGGAGAGTGGCGTTTAAGACGATGGATTAGTAGTGATAGACATAATGTTACATTGCTTTATATTATCATATTGAGAAGTTATTGGGCTTAATTTGGATGCTTTCTACCGAAAATGTATGTTACGAAGGGAATCAATGGCGTGTAGTCATAAGAAGAGTTGCGAAAGTTGTAGCCGTTGAACCTTTTTCCCCATAATTTTGACTATCTGATCACCAGGATAAAATGTTAAACAGCTACCCACGCATATTTTCTCACCATTTACAATAACTAAAATGAAAATCCATATTTCTTTAGGCTTATTTCGAAAGTAAATGATAGAAGTTATTAAAAAATGGTTATAGTAATTTTAACAAAATGCTAAAATTAACTCTATATATATATAAACAAAAATTCAAAATGTAAGTTTAATTTGAGAAGTAGAAAATGCAACTAATCTAATAATTAACTAGGTAGAAACTTTAATAAAACATATTTATTGCAATGAAATAAAAAAAATTTAGTATAACGTTTAAATAAACATCATGTCAATACCTTGACATGTTTGTTTTCTTATAAATATTAAATTTAAAACTAAAACTTTAATTTAAATAAGATAATATATGATTCATTGATAAATACAAAAGTTACATTATTGGGTAGATCCTGGTGGAGTAAGTGTGAATTAGTTTCACATGTAATAGAATATGGGCAAGTTAGGGGTCTATAAGGAGATAAGCTCATGTACACATCCTACTTGTGAGACTTCCTATTTAAAAACTTTCTATCCCAAGGCACCCATGGTCAATGTGAGAGTACACCATAGATGAAACGATGACACTAGATGAGTCTCACAAGATAGCTAGTGGCACCCACATGCGGAGGTGGAGCTCAACACTCTAAGGATAGAGCAAGGGTCGTGTGAAAGTGCATCATAGAGGAAACAGTGACACTAAATGAGTAAACTATGGATACTTGGAAAGTGTTGAGTCCCACATGAAATGGTATAGGGACATGTTAGAGGTTTATAAGGATATAGACTCATGTTATGGTGTCTTATTCATTGTGAGACTTTCTAACTAAAACTTTCCTACCCAACTCTGGTATTAAAGTTAGGTCAATTCAAGTGATCAACTCAGACTAGTAGATGAGGTCGCAACAAAGAGAATTGTGAAAGGAGAGTACATCGTAGAAGAAATGGTGACAATTTTATAGAATAGATAGGTTCACCCTTAAGTGGAAGTGTTGGAGTCAAGTGTGAATTATTCCCATATGGAATGGGATATGGGCAAGTTTAGGGTTTATAAAAAGATGGACCCATGTACTCATTGTCTTACAATTTTTGGATCGCATTGTGGTATCCTATTTGTGAGGCTCTATACCTAAAAACTTCTTATTCCAAAGCACCTATGGTCTATGCACTCATTGTCTTAAAGGTTTTGCAGTTGCATTATGGTGTCCTGCTCATTGTGAGACTCTCTACCTAAAACCCCTTACCCAACTCCTTTCATTTTTCTCACAAACAATGTAAAGCCTTTATTAATTGTTGTTTCATAAGCAATATAAAAATAAGAGTAAAAATAAGAGTTGTCCTACTTAACTCCCCTATCTAACTCTTTATTTTTCTCACAAACAATATAATGCCTTTATTAGTTGTTGTTTCTCAAGAAATATAAGAATGAGAGCATTTTTGGATTTGCATTAGTATATAAAATGAAAAGTATTTAATATTTGAATATTTAAAAAAAAGAAATAATAAAAAATTGCTTATTTAAACAAGTAAAAAAGAGATTATAAAGTAATTAAATTATATAATAAATATTTATAGAAAAATTAAAATTACTATAAAAATTTAAAATTTTTCATTATAATACATTTTTCTTAATAAAAATATGTTTTTATTTTTATAATTTTTTACATTATTTTAATATTTTTTAAAAGCAAACTAAAAAGAAAAATCCTGCCAACGTTATCCCCTCTCGCCCTTAGCACTGTTCATTTCTCCCTAAATGGAGGAGTTTTTGTAGTGTGAGCCCCACCTAAAATTATCCCTTTGCCCTCTTCCCTCTCTTCATTACCCTGGTACTGGTGCGTTTTGTGACTCAGGGAAAGAGAAAAAATTGGACTCTTAAGTTGTTTAATTAGAGAATCGTAAAAATATTGTGACAAAATCATGTGGAGATATCATATTGTTATTTTAATCGGCTTGGTACCTTCTCTAATATATCCATCTTAGCGTTTGGAAGAAATAATCGGCGAATAAAAAGGAAAAAGGAAAGATATGAGACATTGAAGTGTTATACATTGGAGCAAATTCTATATCGGAGCCGAATTAGGCCTAGTACAGTTGCTGAAATTAATTTATAAGGACTAAAAACAACAAAATTAAAGGCTAGCTAAAAGAATCCAAAATTACTCCAGGATAAATTTCTATTGGAGATATTCCCTCAGAATAGTAAGTATCAGCTGACGATATGTACTTTCCCATGATTATAACCAGAGCAAGATAGCCTTTCAAGCACAGTCATTGAATCATTGCCCAGTTGGCTAGCTATACATATCTGCAGCAACAAACAAGTTTTGTCAAAATGGTTCAGCAGAGCTGTGACAGAAGTAGATTGCGACATATTATATAAGTTATCATCAACCAGAAAATAAACAAACCCTTTAAATAAACCTCACGTATTAAAGTTTATTTATTTATTAAGTACCAACTGTTTAGACGGAGAAAAATAATCCATATCTTTTTAGATCATATCATGGGACCATCAAGTTTCCTACAGCGATAAAAATAAACTGAATGTTTCAAGTCAAAGGAGAGAAGAGTCATTTCCAGCAGTTCAACAACAACATAATTGTAAAAGGCCAAAATATCTTTTTCCAATCAGAAGCCAAAATATATTTGTTGTTAACTATAGATGGAAGTTTGAATGGTACTTGTTTCCCAATTGGATGAATTTTTCCTGGTTAACCCAGATCCACCATCCATGTTTATCATTTTATGAAATTACACTTATCCATGTCGTAACACATAAGAAACAGGGCAAGAAAATAAGACAACATAAATAGGTATATGATTCTTATGAATATTATCACTGAAAACTTCACCAAAAGATCTACTGCTTTTCAGTTCTCCCATTGTTATTCTTTTTCTCCTATAAGAAAATTAAACAAAACCCCATACATTTTGAACCAGTAACTCACCATTCTCCTTGTTCTTAAATCAAAGAATGTCTAAAACCTATTTATAATTTGATACAGATAGATCCAAAACTAAATTCAACTTCCATGAGCATTTATCAAATTGAAGGGAAAGAAAATTGAGAGAAGCATCAGAAATTGAATTGATAGATCCTCCAAGATTTAGCAATTAGAAGCAATACATAATATCATACTCCCCAAATTCAATAAAAACAGGAGGGAAAATATGGAAATCACACATTTGCATTAGTATATCCAAAGATCAACACTAATGGCAATATTATTTTGTTTCTATGAGACATGTCAAAATGATGAAAAATCAACGAAAATGTTACTAACAAAATACAAGATAGATGGTTAAAGTGAAGAAAAGATATTAAGAATTATTTATTACCATCTACAAGCTGAAAGGAAAGATTTATCATATTGCAATACAACCAATTATCCTACATGGCAGTGAAAGTGAATAATATTGGACTTTAAAGGAACATAAGAAAAAAGTGAGAGTAACAAAAATGATAATACTAAAGTAAATGAGTAAACACACAAAAAAAGACAAGATACAAAATGATAGTATATAAAAGAATATTAAAGTAGCACTTATAGTAAAAAAGATGACTGAAAATTATCTAAAATAGTTTGGTTACATGTATAGAAGACCTTTAGAAGCACTAGTAAGGATAGTAAATTGCATAACTCTTAATTCAGTAAAAAAAGGTTTGAAGGAAATATAAAAAACCTTAAACGGAGTTATTAAAATGGACATTTTGATTAACCAAATTTCTGAAAATTTGATTTATAACTAAAATCAATGGCGTTATGTGATCCATGTAGTTGACCTCATATAGTGAGATAAAATTTATTTGTTGTTGTATTAGACAAGTTAAAAATATAAATGACACACTCCACAAAGTAACTAAACTAATAAGTAAATTAAAATCTGGATTTAAGAAATTAAACTTCCAAAATAAGGTATATAAACCTCCATAAAACCTTGAAGAAGAAAGAACCACAAGAAAAGGGGTGCAAATCTACATGACATAATTCTTCTTAGTTCTTATATACTAAAATTGATGAGACTCAAGTTACCACATGCCTTGATCATTGCCACAAAAAGCACAATGTTTTAAGAGACCATAGAGATAAAAGATGGAAGATTCCCCTTAAGGCCTCAAGACCAGGAGCCAATCCAACTAAAGGGAGTCAAAGCCACCAGCAAGCCACAGCTAGCATCAAATTTCCTTCCATACACTTCATGTTCTCAGCATAGAACCATCCTAAGGATCCAGGTCATCTTTATTTCAGTACAAGACAAACTCATCTGGCTGAATTTGAGTTCATCCATATCAGATACTTCTCTAAGACTGTCTTTCTACTCTTCTGTATAGTTTATACATAATAAAGAGGAAAACAAAAAGAGTTGTGTCATGCAGAAACAAGAAGAAAAAAAAGCACCTAATCAGGGATGGATAAAATGAATTTTAATTAAAGAATGGTTAGTAAATCAACCAAAAATTTTGTTGGATATCCAAGTAACCAGCCATCCAACCTTTTATCAGTGACCCAAACCCATCCTTCACAAATCCCACCTCCCTTCATACAGACAGAAAGTCCGAGACATTGTTACATTGCTTGCAGTGGTCTGTGGTACATTTCTTGAACAGTGCAGATAATAGATGCAGCTTCCTGCCAGACTCCACCATTGCCTATCTCCAGTGATAGAAGATGACATGTAAAAATAAATAACTATAGAGCACACTGAAGGCTTTCCTTTGGGAATAAAAAACTACATGGGCAGTGTTGTTCTGTGAAATCAATTGTAAGTTGTAACTAGTGACTCAGTTGGAATGGAGCTGGACTGAAATTGAGGCACAACAGGCACAAGAGAGAGAGAGAGAGATTCAAAATTCATTTAATGTTCTTTTTATTAACAAGATTGCAGCAGAAGTCCAAACACACACTATACACATTTAGAAAGGCTTATTTTTAAATAAAAAATAAGTGAATTCAAACAGACTCTTAATCATCAGTCAATAGATATAAATGGCCCAGGGTGCAAACTGGAGGCTGGATTACTTTTAGTTAACATGTAATTGTCATCACTCATCATATTCCAATGAATTAGTAGTTGCATGGTAATGTTTCCTACATCCTAAATCAATTAGTGTGCCAGAAATATCTGAGAGTTTAATCGTCCACATGTTTCCCATTCTTTACTTTGCATACTACCCCACAACAACTACCAAAAACTGTAGAACATTTATGAAAGTAGAAACACAGTACACATGTACCACAGATGGTTATGCATTGCATTTATCAAAGCAGAAATACAGTAGCCAATTTACCATTCATGGCTCTATTTCAATGAGATACAAAAGGAGTGAAATATAACACTGACAACAGCCACTGAATGCAGAACTAATGAAAAAAACTTTGAAAGGGAGACTCTTCAAGACACTACTACCACAAAGACAGACAAAAGAAGTACCCCACCCCCCTAGACCATTTGTATGCAGAAGATGTTGTGAAATAGATATAATTTGTATGTTTTGAACACCATTTTAGACCTCAAAACACCAATCTAGCCTTGAGCTTCTAATATATCAAACTTCAAGCTCTGTTTCAAATCAGGAAGTGATGCATAAAAGAATTGCAGTGTCAATTCATAATGTAAGACAGTTTAGTCAAAATTAAGTCAATCTACATGGAAATTAAAACACCCAACACAACAAACCAAAGAAACGCCTCGGAAACAAGCTAATGTAGTAAAAAGAACAACATGAAATAATCAATCACTTGTAAACTTTACTATTGATAGATGAAAAATAAACCCAGGCCCCTCACTTTATAGTCACCAAATGATTAAAAATGCCATGACAATATTAACCATCTGCAGAATCCAGTTAAAGCTTTGATGTTTAAAGGACTAGCTCAACCTTTTTTAATAGAAAAACAGTTCATGAAAAAATATCTCACCATAAACTATGAAGAACTCGCCAAAGCAAAGTAGTAAAGAACTAAAGCGCACCACTTGCTAGTATATTTAATTGCAGAACCATAAGAAACAACCAATTCAGTGCATTCACTGCACTCCTAGAGTCCAAAATCAACACAGAAAAGCTATTTTATTTTCCTACCAAAAAGGAACTCATGAGGAATCCTCGGGTCCAAAACATCATTCATTCATTGAAAAACAAAACACTAAAAGGTACGATAGGTGATCCAATCAATCCAAAAGAACAAAAAAGCTGATTTTTTTTTAATCTCACCATTAGACCCAGATCTTTTGGCGCGCTTAATTCTTCCCAGCTGAATCTGCGTGTCCATAAACATCTGCATCCTCTGCACTTCAAGATCCTTAGCAAACTGCATCCTCTGTTTCTCCAAATCCACCATCTGCCTTAGCTTCTGCCCCTCCACTCTCTCATACACTTCCCCAAACTTCTCTATCGCCTTCGCCAACCTCCTCATGCCTTCCCTCTCCTTCTCCCCTTCCTCCACCTCGCTTCCCCTCCCTTCGTCTTCATCTTCTTCCTCCTCCTCCAACTCCTCCTCCTCCTCCTCCTCTTCCTCTTCTTCCTCTTCATCAGCCTCCGCAGCCGCTGCAGCCGCAGCCATGGCGGAATAATTCCTCCTGAAGTAACCTTCATCCATTGCCACCGCCGCCGAGCGCTTCTGGGGCAGCGCGATAGCCGTCGGCGGCACCGCAATCGCATGGGAAGAAGGGTTTTTACGATGCGGCAACAAAGGAAGAGCAACGGGCGGCGAAGGCGAGGGAGAAGATGTGGGTTTTTTGGCATTGAAATTAGGGCCAATGAGAGCATCTAATCGTTCGAAGAAAGGCCAGGAAGAAGAAAGAGCACCGTTGGAAGAGGAAACCCTAGCCTTCTCGATCTTATACTTCTTCTTAATGGTATCGATGCGGTTCTTGCACTGCACGTCGGTGCGGTGAGTCTTCTTGGTGTGGCCATGAAGAGCGTTAACGGCGTCGGCGACGTCCTGCCAGTCCTTCTGACGGAGGTTGCCACGATTGAGTTCGAGATAACGGCGTCCCCATGCGTCTACGAGGGTGGAGGAAGCTTCCTCGGACCAGCAATCCTCGCGGACGGGGACGGGGCGCGACGGCGGCGCAAGGGAATCGTGGAAGTCCGGCATCGGAAAAAGGGGATTAGGGTTTGGTGAAGAGAGAGAAAGAGAAATAGAAAGAGAGTGAGAAACGGCAAGGCGAAAGAGTGGGAGGGTGCGGGATAATACGGTACGGTCGCCGGGGAGGGGCGCGTGTTGTTGGGGGAACCCCCAGTGTGTGAGTGGCTCGCGTCATCGGATCGGCTCGGCTTGACCGCTACAACTACTACTATCGGAAACCCCCCCTTTTTTTTAATTTTAAATATCAAAACTAATTTTAATATTTCATCTATCTATAATCTATCTCTATGGGATTATACATTTTTATTTTAATTTGACAAAAAAATATGTTTTGAATTTTTAGTGGGATGATGATTTGGAGGGAGGAGGGGAAGCGCGTTGCTTGCCGACTTGACTTGCGGGGTGGTGACGGCTCAAAATTCCGTTTGGGATATTTCCTCTTTTTTATTTATTTTGATTAATTTGATAATGTTTCGGCAACGCAAAACGAACGAGAGGGAGAGTTTAAGGTTACGAAGATTAGTATTGTTTAAAATTAAAAATTAAGATTAAGATTTGGATTAAGGGCTTAAAGTGTGGCCGGGGATTGGTGTAAGGTCGAGGGGTATCATTTAGGTGTGATTTATACCTTGCGTTGCGTCTACTCTCTTTTTCCGTTTTTGTTTTCTTTCCTTAAATAAAGACGCCGTGAGCCGTGACCACTCCCTATTCCACGGGGACGAACCCACTTTCTTTTTTCTTAAATAATTGAAATAAACACCCCCGCCCACAATATTTCCATGTCCCGATTCAACCAAATACAAATTTAATAAATAAAATTAATTTTCGCAACTTAAACCAAAATTAAAATTATATATTTCAGTAGTGTTTGATAAACACGTGAAAACGAAGTAGGATACAAAGTGTTGTTAATTCCACGTGGATGTTAATTTCAAATTTTAAAGCATAAAATTAGCAATGACAATACCAGTGTGATAAAAATTAAGATAACAGTTATAATAGTAGAAGCTTAACATAACGATGTTTAAGTTAATTACTTGACAAAAATTTACGATGACAATAAGGATGATAATACATAAAGTTAATAACTATGATAATTATTATTATTATTATTATTATTATTATATAGTGTAAATAAGTCAAACAACTTGAAATTATTTGAGTTTGACTTATTAAATGTTTATTAGACTTGTTTATTTAATTGAATAAATAAATATGTTTAAAATTAAGTTTAATTATTTAAATAAATTATGTTCAAATTTTATAAGGTTGACCTTAATAATTCATTAGTAATTTGTATATATTGACGTACTTAGATAATAATAATTTTTATTATATTTATTAAAAAAATTATTATTGTTATTATTATTCATTTTTATTTTTAAAAAGATATATTTTAAATAAATAACTATAATTTTTTAAAAATATACACTATCTTTATAATAATAATAATATTATTATTATTATTAACTTTATACAATATCTATATAAATAAAATAATATTTTATTTATTTTTATTTTATTTGTTAACATAAAAATATTTATTAACAACTGAATTAATAAAAAAATATTTAAATTTGTTAAAATAATTTAAAAAGGCTAATAATTAAACTTAATTTTTTTTTAACTATGTCTTGACTAAATTTTGAATTTGTTTCATTTGACAAATAAGTTAAATTTAAATATTTTTCTTTTCATCAACTAAAATAAAAATAAAAATATTTAATTTATTTATACTCTTAATACTTATACAATAAATATCATATTAATAATTAACAACAATTGAATTTACAAATAAAATGATACCAATAATAATAGTCATTAACTAATACTTGTAGTAAGCAATGATTGTGATAGAAGGTATAATTTGTTAGAATGATAAAATGAATGGAATATACACTACCATTTTATTGTAAACACCATTGGCTTTTTATAAAAGTTTATAAAAGAAAACTAACTATTCCACTAACTCTACTAATAGGAATGTAGATTCAGGACTAAATTAAGTCAATCTCATTAGCACTTTCTAATAAATAGGGATTATTTATAATCCTCGCAATTTCTCAAATATTTCAAACTTTAATGGTTTATTCATGATGTCTACTACTTAATTTTGAGAATTGCATAAGACAGCTTGAATGTTCCATCTTTTGTAAGATTGCAAAGAAAGTGGAAGTGAACATTAATATGTTTACTTCAACCATGAAATACTGAATTTTTAGAAAGCTTTATAGCTGAGTTGTTATCATAATAAATAGTGGTGCGCTTAAGTTGAACATGATTAAGCTTTTCTAGAACTCTTCACATCCAAACTCCTTGATATGCACAAGAAGCAGGTGAAATAAATTCTACTTCAGTGGTAGAGAAAGTAATTATTGATTACTTTTTAGAAGACTATGAGATTGCACTGAAATAAGCATAAAGACCAAAAGTACTCCTTTGGTCATCCAAATCTTTAACATAATCACTATATGTGTATGTCTCAAGCTTTTCAATTCTACTCCTTTTATACAAATTGTCCAAATCAATCTTGTACTTTGTAGCATCAACCTTCACTCTATTTTTGTTTTTCGTTAACTTGCACTAGGGATAATAGAATTTTTGGACAAATTATTCTTTGCCATGCCTAACATTTCTAACAACTTATTCACATATTTGCTTTGACAACCATAAATTCCTTCCTCATTCTGAATTATTTCAACTCCAAGAAAATAATGCATCTTACCAAAGTTTGTCATATTAAATTTCTTTTTCATAAACTTTTTAAACTCCTTAAACATATTATTGTAACTACTAGTAAATATCAAACCATTAACACAAAGACTCATCATAAGAATATTGATGTAGGAAGATTGAGATGGAACTTGATGTCACTCTCAAGGGAAGATAAGCCACATGATCTTTACTATTATGAAAAGATCTATTAATAAGAAGTAGACTTACGAGTTATTTGGAAAGGGAAGGGAAGGGGAAGACAAAATTTAAATTTTAAATAAAAATATATAAAATTAATAATTTTTAAAAATAAAATATGTAAATTAATATATTAATAAAAATTTAATGTATTAATAATATATTTGTCATAATAAATAATATATAATTTTTAATTTAAAATAAAAAAATATGTCCTCTCCTTCCTTCCCCTCCAAAAACCTTCTCCTAAACATACCCTTAAGTTCTCTACCTAAATTACTTGAAAGAAAAAAAGAGTTTCACCAAACTCACTAAATTTCATAAAATCTAAAAAATAAACCAAAGTTACAAAGTATAAAAGGAGAGCGTTTTATATAGGTAACAAGTTACACTGATTATTGGGTTAGGTCCAACTATACAAGAAGGCAAAAACTCAAAAGTACAAAATACATTATGAGACCTAAGAATCATGAATGATTCAAGAGAAATAGGAATAGGTCTTCAAAGTATGGCCTTCTATGGCTTTGAGCCTAAGGTGACTTATTAGGCCCATAAATTTGCCTAAAGCTTCTTTGGTCTTCTTAACCTTTAACCTAGTTATAGAGCCTTGAAGTCCCTTCAAAGCATCCTCCACTTGGCTCAAGCTCTTCAAGTTAGTGAGGCCCTCATCAAATATTACCTCCTCTACTTAGTTTCACAAATAAGGTGTGCTTATATAAACATATCTCTAATCCTTTCTTAGTGAAATAGGTTTTGATGCAATTATACCAAACACGTGGTACTTGTTTAAGGCCATACATAGTCCTTTTAAATCTATACATCGTAAACTCATCACCCTTCTTTATATAATCATGTGGTTGATCAACAAAAACCATTTCATTTAACTGCCTATTCAAGAATGTACTTTTTATATCTAACTAATACAAACTTCATCCTTTTTTATCAGCAATATTCGAATGGTATCCCATCTAACCATTATTACAAATACTTCAATGTAATCAACTCTATATTGTTGAGAGTACCTTTTTGCCGTAATTCTAGCTTTATACTTCTTAATCTCTCCACTTGCATTCAACTTTGTTTTAAAAATTCATTTGAGTCCAATGGTTTTTGCTCCTACTGATATGACAATTAGCTCCCAAGTATTATTCTTCTCTATTGCCTCTATCTCATTATTCATTGCAATCCTCCATTTTTCACTTTTCACAACTTCTTCGGATATGAATGAATTAGATGTTACAGTAGGCATTATAAGATTTTGCATCTCTTCCTCATTTAAAAATTCATCTCCACTCAAATAATTTTGCATCCATACTAACGATTTACTTACTATCCCTTCTTCTTAGGCCTCTCTTCACAATTGACTTGAAGATGAACTTGTTCCTTCTTCACCTTTTGTACTTCTATTTTATTTTATTTTTCATTTTCTTCATCCCTTTTAGTGACTCATGACTTTCTTTATCACTTTCTCCTTAATCCAACATGTTCTTAACTTCTTCCCCAGTTCCAACACTCTGTTTCCTTTAAAGATCACATATTTACTAATCACAATGCATTTGGTTGTTGGATCAAAGAGTCTATATGCTTTGGATTCATTATTTAGCCTAAGCATCACACATCGACAGTTTTTGTCATTAAGCTTTTTTCTCTTAGTTTCTGGTATGTGAACATGTCAAACACAACCAAAGATTTTGAAGTAATGAACTATTGGCTTGCTGCTGATCCATGCTTCTTCAGGTGTCTTATCTTTTACTACCAAGGTAGAACATCGATTAAGGATTTGAAATGTCCAATTTAATGCTTTGGGCAAAAAATATTTTGGGACATATTTTTCTGATAACATGTATTAGACAAGATAGTTCGATTCTTCCTTTTGGCGACCCTATTTTGTTGAAGGGTGAATGTAATAATCAATTGTCTTTTAATGTCATTTGAGTTGCAAAATGACATGAATTCTTGTGAGGTAAATTCTCTTCCTTGATCTATTTGAAGGCACTGAATTGGGACCTCACTTCTTTCTTAATCAAGCTTTTAAGGGTTTTGAATAAAGCATGAACTTGAGATTTCTCATATAAATGATATCTAAAAAACTTTGTAATCATCTATGAAAGTAATTAAGTACCTTTCTTCACTGTTTGATAAGGGTGTGTGCAACACCTTAATTTTAATTTCGATAAATCATAATTTCACAAATTCATAATAAAAATAAATTTCATTTCAAATAAAGTTCTCAATCCTTGGTTTCATCAAATATTTTGAAATAAGGAAAGGGGTTACAATTTTTATCAAGTCACTACTACAGGACCTATTCAAATACATTAGTTTCAAATTAAAATCTTAAGTCCTATAGCAGTTCCATCCACTCCTTCACTGAGTCTGGTGCTGATCGTCTTGATTACCTGAAAAATAAATGTAACG